CAATTTAAAATGTAAATGTGTCCCTCGTGTAACAGCTCAAACTTTTAGATAAGTATTTCAACATGGCATCAAAGTAGAGAAATGACTAGATAAAAAAAAAAGAAAAAAAATTGTACATATATTTGCAGCCTGTTGAAATCTAAATATTAATAAATAAATGTGTCCTCACTGTTTAAGATTTTAGATTTGATAGTTTAACAAGTGATTCGTGGACTGAGGAGGGCAACAGAAAGAACCTTAGGAGCGGGAGTTTGATCTACATTCGGCTCCATACCCACAGTTGAAGCACTTGCAAGAATCATTCCTTTCTCAGGGCAGAATTCTTTAAAGCATTCGTATGGAAGAGCTTCACCTGCTACTGCCTTGGCAAGTGCATTTGCTCTCTCTTTTGGGAAGAGGAAAAGGAAGGAAATCACAGTCAAGAATTTTTCAGCAAAAAAAAAAAAAAAAAAAAAAAAAAAAAAAAAAAACCAAAAATCAGCACCACTGGCTCCAACCAGGACAATCAATTTCCCTGCAATTGGCGAAACATGTGATTCTTGTCCATTTGCAACTTGTCGTTCTGTTTTCTCACGATATAGGAATAGTTCAATGTCACTCATAACTCATTGAATTTATGCTCAGGATATTTCAGTATGAAAGAATCTAAAAAGAAAAAAATCATCATACATCAGACGTCTTATCCAATCCAACATACCAAACATGTCTACACACAAGCCATCAATGCTATAATAAGGAAAAAACAGTTTATTGTCATAAGAAATCCTTTATGTTCGCGTATTTACATATATAATTATTCTTTATAATATGAAAAATCAATAATAGCCCATTTTACCTCTAAATGCTTCTTCAATAGAAGTTATGCAAGCCTCACAATCTGTATTGTAACCAACCAACTTCCCATCAGTAGGCCTTCGAACAATAGCGTTCACTGCTCCTATGGACTGATCAAGAAAGCAAAAGCAACGTGTTAGAAAATAGAATCAATTTAGCAGAATTTAAATTCGGAAATTTCTTGATACGTCACCGTAACACCGCCAGTGTCTTTTATTAGTGACTAGTTAATGCGCGCCTCTCTCCACAGCCGGTTCCTAACTCCTCTAGGACTTTATTTCTTAGTCTAGTGGTGCAAACTGCAAATTCATTTTTCTCCAAACTCTTTTTCAACCACACAAATAACTTAGCATGTGGTCCATAACTTTTCCTTACTTTTTAACCACATATTCTTCAGAAAAATCAACTTTTTACAACATCTATTCTAGAAACATAAACATCAAGTAGCCCTAAGTTAATTTCTGCATTCCATGATCAAATTAAGCAAAAAAAGAATGAAATCGTTGGAATTTTAGAACATTAAAAATAAGGGGAAGAATGGAGATTAAATCAACTAAAAAAGTTAAGATGCAAATACAAAAAGAGTGTCCTCGGAAAGTAGCTTGGCTTTGTTCTAAGAAGTAAATAAGCTGAACTGCAGAGTTTTCATACCCGAGCAAGGTGATGAACTTCATCGCAGTAATGTAATGCTGCCTCCTTGTGTGGTATTCCAACACTATAAATTCCATGAGATGAAGAGATTCAAGCATTAGATACATCTTGGACAGACTGGCATATTTCAAAAGAAACTCATTTAAAACTACCTATAGGTGATGGGATCATGTTCTGTGCTCACCAACTCTCATCACTTGAGGTCACATAACATAGGCACAATAATAAAGGCATGAATGGATATAATCACAAACAATCAATGCATGTTCTGTATGCAGTATTGAATAGTATTGCACCAGAAAATGGACAAGATTTTAACAAATTTATTCTTTTTGCATAGACTTGATTGCTGTTGATAATTTGCTCATCAATACAAAAAAAGGAAATACACCTTACAAAATGAAACGCCAAAGTCATGCAATACTTCTAAGAATGGAGAGTACCTGAAACCTGTGAATTGTCACACGAGTAAACTCCCAAGAATTCCCCGATGTTATCGACTAAAAAGGAACATAAAGTCCATTATATCCTATATGTCGGAAGGCAGGATTATGAAGAAGACGCCCTTTGCTATGACCTACAGGATTTGAGACTACACCAAAAACTTTTGTGTCTGAATTCATATGTTCTGACTTGTAGACTTGTTTGATGCTGGCTAAAGGTGGCAATCCAGGAATGCATTTGTCTCATATAGATCCCCATACTAAGAATGCACCATATGTTGGCTTATAAGACCTCCATCTCCCACTGCTTTTGCAATTAGTGGCACCTGCATGCATGGAAACACTTCCAAGACAATCAATTAAATATACTGCAAACAAAATTGCTAGATCTGACAACTTAAACTCTCAAATGAGATTGAGGGACTTCTTGCAAATGGTTCAGATCGTCCCTTTTCATTCCATCATTAAGCTGAGTGACGGAAAGGTGAAAAGAACCCTCTTTTGGGCAAGCGCAATAGGCCCTGTCTCTCTCTTTCTCATGATTCAATGAAGACAATAGCTTGGAGTAGTCCAGATCTCTACTTCATGAAATTCATAATCAGCTATACAAAAGTCCCTTCATTATCTCACTTTTTCTATGTTTAAACATGGTATTAGAGCATGCAAAGGTGTTGAATTCAAGTCTCATCACGACTCAATTACAAAATTGTTTACGTCGAGCTTTTGATAAAAAACATAAATCTATCAACATGTGAGTGTGTGAAGGCCACCTCATCTAAGAGCTTAAGATATTAGAGAGTGACAAATTAATTTTTATAATTTTTGTCTTCTACACATCTTCTCTCACTCAAGCAAGTGATTCAAAGGAAAAAAAGAAAAAAAAGAAAGAGCGTGCTCAAACTTGACTAGGTACCAAGATTCTCGGTATCTCGACTCTATAAACACTTGCAAGATCAGAAAAGGACGATAGGATTAGAAAACAGAAGATTGTAAAAAAAATTGTCAGTTGTTCCAGTCTAGCTTACTGAATGTACCTGACAATGGGTGAGCATGTGGAATATTGGTGCTACATCTGTAATATAAGACACATCGACCAGAAGTTTAACAACATCAGCTCCAGTAGATTGCACGTCTCTAATCAAGTTTCCAAGATTTTCGGTGGTAGGAGTCTCTCCATTCAAATGGCCTGAGACAATTTTTTTTTTTTTGGAAATGTGAAGATATATGTTTGAAGCATCTTTGACTGAGCCTAAAATACTTTTAAATAACTTATCCTTCTAAACATATTTGGTTGAATTGTTATTTTTCTTACTATTATGTGAAAAAATTGAATTGTTTGAACATAATTCTAGCTTTCTTGTCAAAATAAGTAACTTAATTATTTCAAACTTCGACCAAACATGCTCTGTAAAGATTTACTTACAAAATCTGTGACTTTTGTACACTTGAATTCTTTCTTTAAAAGTATCCATAGTTCATCATGCCATTTATTTTCGTCTTTTTGACATTGCATAAGTCAAGCTGAAAGTAATTATTGAAAAATAATGTCTTTAAAGTATGACCACGAGAAATATTTTTAGCTTATTTTTAATCACCTTTACATGATACATGTGCTGAGGCGGATCCAAGGATATAATTTGGCATGCAACTAAAATTTCATTTTTTGAAACAAAGTAATAAAAATAAATTATTGAAATGGAAAATAGTACATTCTTTAATACATTACAATTATTCTGTTGCGGCTTTCGTACTTTGAGAATGTTGGTGTCCGAAAAATGACGTGGCACTTCTTGATAAATTTTTACGTTTTGAGCTAAATGAGAGTATTATAGTGCAGGACAACTATTACAATGTCATAAAGAAAATATCAATTTGGAACCCCTCATTTCTCATCCACTGTATGTCCCTTTATATAGGCAGGTAGATGTTAAGCTACCATGTTCCGATCTAGGAACTTAATTAATGAATATAAACAAGCATTCACTTGGTGTGCTTGCCTTGCTAGCTCATTCCACTTCGTTGTCCCCAAGGTATGGAAGCTACCTTATTGTAGCCTTGAGACCTAAACAATATCCCATGTCATCCCTCCATTCGTCGAAATACAGCTTGCATTTTGCCACAACGAAAATCTTGTATTGCGATCCAAAAGTGGAATTTCATACTTCATGATTGCCATTGATAACAGAAACCTCGAGCAAAATCACAAACCAATAGCTCTGATACCACTTGTTGGAGATGAATGAGGATATATGACACAACATGAAATATATGATCTCATACAAAAAACAAGACTAAATGGAAGACATAGATTGGCAAAGGAATATAGTATTTTATTCAACAACCAATAAAGAAAATAATATTGTTACAGCAATTTTTCTAAACTAAATAAAAAGTCTACTATTTATAAGGGACATGTCAAAATCCTACAAGTAACCTAAAAAATGAAAATTAGGTCAAAATACGTGTGAAAACAAAAAAGAAGAAATCTCGTGCGGCCCTGTTGCTTGAGCATTGTCTAGTGCTAGGCGAGTGATAACCTTGTAGCTCGAGCGAGAGTTGGGCGACAGTCGGGCGACAGCTTTCTGCTCCAAAAGTTTCAACGTCGAAAATCCAACCTTTTCCACTTGGACCCTATTTTAACATCTTCAATCCCAATACTCCAAATCAAGCAACCCTAGACCGAATTTGGGTCACAAACCCCACAAAGGTAGAGAGCCACGGGAATGTAATTTCTAGTCGCACTGTGTTTTTGGAAACTATAGTTTACATGCATGAGTGTTAACAAATAATAAATTCCATGTTTCCAAAAATTACAAGTTTTGTTTAGAACTTTGAAACACGTCTAAAATTCATTGTGTGCATTTATATAGTCATATTTGAGACACGACTCTAATACCACTTTTAGGGAACCAGTTTTCCCCCAGTTCCCGACGATGAGTTCATATTATATTCACTCATTGACTTACTTAAAACAGAGGGGTTATTGGATTAGCATTCTACATCAGAGAGTTAGAATGATTCCGCACCTCCTTGGCTTATTCTTTTCACTGATGCTCAATTCAAATTCTTGTGTATAATATCATTTCTCTGCCTTTAAACATTGAATTCCAAGTTCATCAATGGGACTTGGAATCATATGGTTACACAAATGAATATCTCAGTGAAAAGCTTACATCCAAAAAATCGAAGAAATGCTGCTTGGTTCTTCATTTGGGGGCACTGCTAGATGGATATGCTCATCAATCTTGTTGACTTCATTCGACCAAACTGTACATTATCTCAGCAAAACTAACCAGATAAGATGCCTCCACAAACTTGAGCATGCAAAGAGGGGGAGGAGGATAAGAAAAGGGACTGCTTACATAAGAATGTAAGTCATTGTTTACAAACTATAACATCCAGACATCGTTTTATTACAACATCCAAGGGTGTCCTTATTCACCCATTATTTCTGGTGCATTATGGACAGACATAGCCTGATCATATCTATGCAGTGAAACAGAGTCAAACCGGTGCCCTTGCATGTGCAGAATGAGCAAAGTCCTTAGGACAGATAAACATCTTCTTGACTATGGCCCAGAATTCCCTGTATTTCAAGTATCGAGTAAATCAGAAACACGGTAGCCTGTCTTTATGAATAGAACAATGCACTAGATATTTAGGCCTATTAGTGAATTTGGTACTCACTTCCAGGAACATTTTATCAATTTCACCATCAGTGTAGCTTAGGTGCCAGTTAGAGCTCCCATCAATGAGGGCACCATTAAATTCAAATATCTTGTCAAGCTCAGACACAAGTTCTCCATAACAATTGAAACGTGCTAGGTCAATGGATCTTCTAAGAGCAGTTCCATACTCCATTAACTGGAAGAAAATAGTTACAAACTGTTAGAGTACGGTGATCAAAATTCTGTTTGGCCTGGCCCGAAAAGTTCGTGGTGCGATGTACGTGGTGAAACCAAAATTATGAGAAAAAATAGGGGTCCATGGTAGCAGAGGGATCAGGCCCATAGAAGTAATGTAATTGACTTTAAGGATGAAAAGACCTTTTTCCGCTTCATTACCATATTCGGTTGCACGTGGAGCAAATGTTGGAGGAGCACGGGGAAATAGCAATGTCCAAATTCGTAGAAACACCACGAGAGATGGATATGGTGCTTTCATGACGATTATGAATCTCAAGTTGATGTTGATTATCCAACACAATGTGCTTCTCTCCCCAACCACAAAATGATTTCAGGCTCAAATGTGAAATGGGCAAACCGTGCTGATGTTTGCTGATTGTAAGCGTCAACAGTTCCGAATTCTTGACCTTGCAAGACCCCTAAGTGTCCATGACGTATATGCTCGATGGAGTTCTTTGTTAAGCCTTTTGAGGATATGAAGGATGAATTTGATCGTTTAGGCGTAATAATGAGTGAGAGTAGAACAAATGTCAGCATGTTTGGCTAATTAAAAGTTAGTTTTAAGTAAATTTTTTGCCAAACATGTTTGAAGTTCTCCAAAAGCAACTTCTTTTTTCAGGTGAAGCAGCACGAATGCTGCACGCTTGCACCCTATATGGCAAAACTCCAGTAACCGTAAGTATCACTAGCTTACGCTTTGGTAGCATATTCCCAGTACAGAATTTACAACTTTTAGCAGTCCAAAAATTAATTTTTTTTCTTTGTTTACTTACTGTAAAAAAAAAAAGAAAATGTAAATTTAATTTTTTGTAAATTAATTTTTGAAATAAAACCATTATCAGGCTTACCATCCTTCACAGAGAAGGGAAACAATATATTAAAAGGTCGAGCCTTCTTTACATCTGATAGAACAGTTTTTTGCCTGCTCTTGTATATTTCAACAACTTCAATGCTCCACGGAGAAACCCTGTCGGGACAAATAGCAGCATCTTCTGCAGAATCCCATTCACCCGTTAAAGAATTTGTAAATTAGTAGCTGTACATATGATATTTAAATGTATTCATATCTAGCTTGGAAATTTTTTTCTTAAAATTTTTTACAAGTATATTAACCTTGATAAATCTGCAATAGGACCCTGGCCATCTGATATGGTCAATATCTTTGATGCCAATGATATACCCCCAAATCTGGTATAAGACGACCAATATGTTAAAGACCTTCGATTTTGTCAATTCTAATATTTTTCATAAGAGCGATTGTGCCAATTAGGAGCTGTCAAAAACTTATTTTATATTTTACCCGCACTTACTTTGCACTCCTTTCAACTCGGAATCCCTATGATCTTTCAAACTGCATTTTAATCTCGTCCTAAAACTTTAATCAATTTCAGCCGCCTTCATGTAGTGATCATAAGGGATAATGAGTTCGGCTAGACTTCTCCTGCATATATAAAATATACATTCTACTATTCCAAACTCAACTTATTTTCAAGAACAATAGCTTACCAAGGATAATAATGCTCCTTAAACAAGCTTTCTGTAGAAATTGCATGGAAAGTGTAAACTAGGACCCCATTTTGGATGCTTTGACTCGATAACAGAGATGCTAACATATTGCTTTCCAGGTTTGCACAGCGACCCCAACAAAGAGTTTGCTAGTTTTACCCCTGTGAAACATGAAAAAGCCTATAAGGAAGGGTAGAGAGAGTGGAAGGTCCAGAAGGTCGAGAAAACCTGAAGAATATGCAAGTATCCCGTGCAACAAGCTTCTTCGAATTCAAGAAACTGCTCCAACCACTGCCGAGCAAGAGACACTTTGGCTGACCTGTATTTAGAAAGGGTGGAAAAGAAGATAAGCTAAACATCAGCCACTTGTAGCATGTTTAGTAATGATGATTAGAGAGTACTAAGCAGTATTAAGGAAGAAAAGAAATATAATTTTGTTTATTATACTAACTCATTTCTAGTGTTGTGCACTAAACGTGCACTAAAAGTAAAGAAACTAAAAAAGAAATCACGAGATTCTCGTGTCACTTAAGAATCGTCAACTATCAAGTAAGGTTGGCCGCCCATTACATATAAATGTTGCAACTATCAATTAAATTCCATAAAGAGATCCTCTCTAATACTACGATTTATGTGGCGGAATTGCCATTCTGTCTCGTGCAAATCCTTGACAACCAGGTCCTGTGAAGGGAGATGCCGAGACATGTCCTGCAAGAAGAAATATTGCTGAGGAATTATGCAAAAAAAGATCTGTGTCTTCACATTCATCTACAACACGTATTGAAACATTAAAGAGAATCAAAGATCAAATATTTAACAGTTTGAAAGAAATGAGATGAAGGCTATACGATTCAAGAAAACATTATCATCAGGTGGTTTTATGGAGAAGATGATCAAAGACTAATCAGAGGCGGAAATAATTCGTTAGCACATTTTCTTGGTACGAAGAATTCACAATGTGCGCCAGTATCAGATGCAGTTAGCTTCCTACTGAAGGAGCGTATACAACTTTCCCAAGCTCTAGATAGAGGAGCGATGTACTGTGAACTTTCTTCATCTTTCAGCGAAAATCTAAAAAAATCTTGTTAGAAATGCATATTCACGTGTAGAGGTTGGCAACTTATAAGTGAATAGGAAAAGAAATCAATTAATGATGGAGCGATTGGATAAGCATGCTTGTCGATGATAACGATTATCAATGAGATTTCCAAATTATATGCAAGAAAAGCATGGACGGAGGAATCATACAACTCATATTTCAGAATATGAAAAGGCATTCCAGAAGAATGACGAAAAAGTAATAAAATTAAGTCGAGTAAGTGCATATAGATAATAGAGGACAAAAGTAAAAGAGTCAAGCTACACCTACAGGGAGAAACTTCGACTCAATAATAGGGGGGGTGATTTATTTTTTGCAATAAAATATTTACATGGGGCCCACACCCATGTGAGAGCCTGTAAACATTCTGTGAATTTTTCTTTCTGTACACTGAGAATAATCCTAAAAGTAAGATAAAAATTAATGAAGGTCTCCAAATACACAATGATGAGAAGTCTGCAATACATAATGGGCAGAAAGAAGTGCATCAGTTAACGTGTTACATTTACCTTCGGTACCAAAGTAATATGTGCAATTGCTTCATCTGTGTTGGGATCGGCCTGCATAATAGTCATTGGTAAAAAAGGATGATAATAATAATAATAAAGATGTATACTACTAAACAGAACTTAAGTAGTTACTCTATATACTTTATTATTTGTATAAAACCACGCAAGAAAGTTAAATTCATTACTTGTAAGTTGTAACTGTACACTGACAACACAACAGAGAATCTTGTATGGTACATTGTAAACTGGCAATGGCACACTGCTATCCTTGCTCGTGCATGCCTCAACCAGTTCATAAATTTCAAAAATTAAATAGTTAATGAGATTAGATAGATCGAGCACATTCTAGAGAATATGTGTTGATCAAATTCAAAGGAAAGTTGAGCTTCCATTTGACAAAATTTATAAATCATTTATAAATGATCAAACTTCATTTTTAATGCACATTCCAATGGACCCACAAGTAATGTCCAATTACCTTCCACGCATTTTCATATATTTATATATTAAGCTGTTTATAAATTCTTAGTAAGGAGGTTATGTTTTGGAATAGTGAGTAATTTATTTTATTTCAATAATATATATATATGAATAGAACGGATACATTTATTTGCCTAAAGTTTCTCGCTAACATGCTGTCTCACATGCAAACCATACACACTTATAATAAGTGGGAGATGGCAAAACTTCATTTCAAGACTTTTGCATGGTCTAATACCATATTAAACTGACTCGTCTAAAAGTTTAAAATACACTTATTTACTTAAATTTTGTCAGCAACACTTTGTCATCACTGCACTTCCTCTTATGCATCCTCATGTGTATTTCTACAAAGTACTTGCATGTGGCATTTTCATAGATGGATAATGCTATGATTTGACCTCAGAACATGGGCACAACACGTGCATGCATTAATATCAATTGAATCACTCACCTAAAAGCTTAAACTATTAGAGAAGGTATTAATTTTTTTTAATACTTTTATCTTAAACACTATCGATCAATCAATAATATGCATCTATCTTGTAAGGCGAATAGCATTCATATTCCATAATACAAACATAGGTGCTAACCGACAACTGGCATTGGCATGTCACTATCCTTGCTCATGCATGCCTCAACCTGTCCATAAATTTCAAAAATTAAATAGGAAGATTAGATAATAGATCAAGCACATTCTAGAGGAGCGTATTGATGAACCTCTTCCGAAATTTTATGCCTCCATTTGGCCAAACTTATAAATGATTTATAAGAAATTAAAATCTAATTTTCAACCACACATTTCAATGGATATACAAGCAATATCTACTTACCCCCCCCCCCCCCCAAACCCAAAAAAAAAAAAAAAAAAATTTCTATCTAATTTTAAATTAAACTTCTTATAAATTCTTTGCAGGCAGGGATTGAGTTGTTAGAATAATGAGTAATTTATTATTTATATATATTATAATTGAACCAGTTTATCTAAAAATTTAAATTGTTATCGAGCAAATATATTTATTTGCTTAAAGCTTCTCGCTAACACGCCATCTCACATGCAAGCCATATTTATTTTCCATCAAAAGCGTACACAATGATGATAAATGGAAGATGGCAAAACTTCATTTCAAGGAAAAATACCATACTAAACTAACTTGTCTGAAAGTTTAAGATCCACTTATTTACTTATATTTTGTCAACCACATTTTAACATCATTGGACCTCGTCTTTTGCATCCTCATGTATATTTCTACAAAGAGCTTACTGGTGGCATTTTCATAAATGCAACGGCAAGATTTTTTTATTTTATTTTTATCTCAGAACACATGCATGCATTAATATCATGTTGAATCCCCTAATCTAAACACTTAAACGATTAGAGAAAGTATTGATTTTTATTATTTATACTTTTATCTTAAACACCATCCATCAATCAATAATATGTATCTTTCTTTTTAAGGCAAATAGCATTAGTATTCCGTAATAAAACATATGTGCTAGCCGAGAAAATCAGGAACCTTCACCAAAACCATGCATACAATGCCAATTAACGACAACAATCAGCAAAATCGAAGAAAACAGCACTCTGAAATGATTCACCTAATTTGTCTGTTATCATTTAACGAACACGATAAATTATTATAATTCCACCACTGAATTCATGGAGTAGAGATAAGATTATTCAACAACAACTAAAAGAGCAATATTTCATTGATGAAACGATGAATCTTGAAAGAGAGCAGATTAAAACCTGTTCAATGTGAGATGAAAGTAGAAGACCCTTTTGCCAACACAAGGCACATTAGCCATGGGATTAGGACAGGCGAGCCATAGTTGCCTGTAGACTTCTTCCTCAGCTGAATTCATCCGAATATTATTAGAATGAGAAATGAAGGGCTTGAAATTAAACTTTTTTTGCCAATTCAAGGAACTATATATGCAAAAAGATACCCTTAACTTATAGACCATTATATATAAGGTTTTCGGCTACTCTTAATAAGTAGACCTTTTAAGAAGGAACTCCAAGTCTTAATTGGGCATAACGAATTGTACCAGTCAATGTGTTTCATTTACCTCCATTACCAAAGTAATAAGTGCAATGACTTCGTCTATGTTGGGATCGGCCAGCACAATAGTGATTGGTAAAAGAGGACGATAAGAATAATAAAGATGTATATTATTTAAAATAGCTTCAGTTATTACTATACATACTTCATTATTTGTATAAAACCTCGCAAGAAAGTTAAATTCATTTCCAAAGGACGTTAAGCTATTTGGTATTGCAAATGATGTACTACATTTGCACCCTGACAACATACCAGAGGATCTCGTCGGGAACATTGTAAACAAGCATTGGCACGCCACTATCCTTGCTCTTGTATGCATCAACCTGCCATTATTTTCAAAATTAAATAGTTAATGAGATTAGATATATCAAGCAAATTTTAGAGAAGTGTGTGTTGATCAACCTTGTCCGAAAGTTTAAGCCTCCATCTGGAAAAATCTATAAATCATTTATAAGTGATCAAACTTCATTTTCAACCACACATTCCAATGAATCCACAAGTAATATCCGTTTATATCCATTTTTAAATTAATCTGTTTATAAATTCTTCCCAAGAGTAGATTAAGTTGTTAGAATAGTGAGTAATTTATTATTTGTACCTATTGTTGATGAACTATCTTATCTAAAATTTTAAGTTGCTATATAGCGGATTCATTGATTTGCTTAAAATTTCTCACTAACTGTCCCACATGCAAACCATATTCATTTTCCATCAAAAGCGTACACAATTATCAAAAATAGGAGATGGCAAAACTTCATTTCAAGCCAAAATATCTTATTAAACTACCTCGTCTAAAAGTTTAAGAAACACTTATTTACGTAAATTTTGTCAGCCACACTTTATCGTAATTGCGCTTCCTCTTATGCATTTTCATTTATATTTCTACAAAGCAGTTACAGGTGGCATTTTCTTAAATGGTTAATGGCAAGATTTGACCTCAGAACACGTGCAGAAACCGTGCGTGCATTAATATCATGTTTAATCACCTAATCTAAAAACTTAAGCTGTTAAATAAAGTTGTTATTTTTATCATTTACACTTTTATCTTAAACACCAACAATGCATCTTTCGTTTAAGGCAAACAGAATTAATATTCTGTAATGAAAACATATGCTAGCCAACAAAATCTTGTTACAACCTTCACCAAAACCATGCCTACAGAACCAATTATAGACAACAATCAGCAAAATTGAATGAAACATC